AAATGTTTGAAGAGCTAGGACATCAAAATTAGTTTGAATAATTCTTTATGTCCGAGTTGTCCCTAAGCAAGGAATAGCTTTACAATGTCTCCTTCTTCCTTAAGGCCCATGTGAAGCTAATACTTCTCTCAACAGAACCCCAACAGCACATGTCACTTGCAGAGAGTTGAAGGAGTCCCACTGTCTCACAGCAAGAACACTACTGGGTTTTATGCCATATATATTCTGTTAGTAAACTTGTCATCACTTCTCCTTGGGTGGATCCTCATGCTTCAGATCTGAGAGTTACAACTGATGTGTGACTCCTTAAGAGGAATCAGGAGCTATTCAGGGTGGCCAAACTTAGAGACTGAGCTTAGACATCGACCTCAAGAGAGTGCTCTGGTTACCTAAAGTGGGTCCCAACCTGTATCACCCTCAGGAGGAGCCTGTCTCTAGTGACTTATAAGGAAACTAGAACTAAGTATAAAGCCAAGATAAAATCAATAAATACTGTAATTTGTGTCAAATTCAGATAAGCCGAGGTGGAATCAGTGGAAACAATGGAGCTCTCAAGTCTGACATGAAGTATGCAGCATATGCTTGAAATGCCACTGCATTTTGACTGAATGCTCTTTTTCTGAGGGTTTACCATTCATTTCAGTTAAACAGAGATAAATATACTCCGAGGACTTTCAGCAGTTTAATTAAAATTTACACTGTTTATTAAGGAATAGATTTAATTTCCAGTGGCACGCGTGACAACATAACCATTTAGGCATCTGCAGTCACCCTGTTTTCCATTTGGTGGGAACATACAAGAGAAAATAAGCACAATCCAATCATCAGGATTCTGTTATGGGTTATGAGCAGACAGAGCAAAAGGGCCAACTGCTGTGTCTGATCACACTCAGCATTTGATACGGAGGCATGAAAACAAGCAGATGACTTGCCTTCTCACTTCACCAATGTAAGTCGGACCTGCCATCACAATTGGTGGGGCTGTGCTGGTGTGACACTAAAGAAAACCAGGGTCAAAGTCTGCAGGTTGCTGTGATAGAGATGGATCACTCTGCAAGTTGTGCTTTCTGCATGCTGCCTTTCGAAGGTGAAAACAAGGGCTTTCATATGAATGCCTCAAGGCTTTTAGTTCCACTAAGATGCTATGTTGTGTTTCAGATTTAACTAGAATATAAGGAACAACCAGTGGTAAGTCTATTGAATAAATCTCTATACATACACATAGAGCAGAGAGACACATTCTGCTTGCTCTGAAGATTCTGCTTTCCTTCATGTTCTGTTGAGGGAATGCAGAAAGTATCTTTATAGCAACAGGCACACTTGATCCAGATAAAGCTAGCAAAGTTGTGGCGAAGGATGCAGTCCAACACAACTTCGGTTTGGTTAGGTGTGTGTTTTTCTTGGGAGTGATTTCAACTATGTCAACAAGATTACGTGCTGATGTGTTAATCTCTGATGGATATGCTTACAAAAGGTTAATATTTGAAAGCATTAAAATTCTGTGTAGCTGTGACCCAAAGCTTGACCTAATTGTAGAGTGTTGTCTTGCAGCTGTAATAAAACATAGGTTTTATTTATGAATCTGTAAATTTGATAATGTGCAATGTCTCTTTATTTTTTTCTTTAAATGGCTCACATCATTGAACAACTTAGTGTCTGAAAAACCAAGTTGTAATTATTGAGTAGGTATCAGCTCCATGCACAGAGCATCAGAAAAATTGGTGTTTGAGAAAATTTGGTACTGGTTGTTTGTTCACAGAGGTGTCTTTGTTTATCATTTGGACTTAATTTTTGAAACCACTTACAGAAGCTTTCTAAGGATTTTTTTTTTCCTCCTCTGTTGTTTTCCCCTTGTCTGACCTATTAATGTGTTTCAGTGACAGCTTGACATTTGAGGGCAAAGTATGTCAGTGACCTTTGGAAGATGACTTGAAAGAGACCTCCTCTCTGTTCAAACATCACAGCAGCCGAGTGAAAAAATCCCTTGGAAAATGTGACTTGAATCAGTGCCCAGGTTGCCCCTGCTCTTGGGATGTGGGTTGCTGAATAATAGTACAGAAAACGAAAAACTGGGAAATAATTTTTGAGATAATCTTTAGTCAGCAGTATATCCAGTGGGTCAAAGTTTCCTTTCAGTGGCACTCCTGTACACTAGGAATAGCATTATATTAGCAGAGTTATAAGAAAATAAATCTGTGTATACGCAGGGCCAGGCCCTTAAATGTCTCAAAGGATTGTGCTTCTTGAAATAAAAGATAGAGCCAGATTCTGAAATGTAAATTTTTTTGTACTAATCTTGTTAGAAAATATATCTTACAGTGACATACTATTTCAAAATACAGTAATTTTATTAAAAAAAATTATGTGCTATTTTACTTTTGCAGATTTAGGGTTGCCATATAGATTCTGGAACATGATTTCCCTTCCCAGTGTGTATCACCATAATGATTTTCAGTAAGAGTGTTTGAGTTTTACATTCTTCTCTTTTAATGAATTTTGCAGATTTAGATGTATTGGAGTAGAATAAATACTGCTTTTCTAGACTCCAGCAACAGCTCTTACAAGAATTACTATACTCATATCTGTGTACTCCTGAATTTCATAGAGCAAACCAATTCTAAAAGCCTCCAGTCCTTGCACAGGCAGTCTTTACTCACAGAGACAATCCTATTGACTGCAGTGCTACTGGTTTGCAAGTAGCAAGATTTACTCACTGGGAGCTGTAATGTGGAATCCTCTTTTATTGTGTCTCCCCTTCTCAATGTTTACCTGACATGTTTAATGTTTCCTCATTAGGAGTTTAACTTCAAGGAATCACTCTTCAAAGTACTGAAGGTAGAATAGTATCTTCCATCCTCTTTGAGAGCATGCTGCTGCCTAGAGCCCATATTGTACAGGCTTTATGTCACAGCAGTGGGCTACTGAATATGAATGTGGACAGTGCTTACAGGGTGTGGAAAAGGCCCGCAATATGCAAACCACTGAGATCACTTCAGGAAATACATCTTTTCATACATACTAGAAAATTATTTTTACATGAATACATTAATACATTTACTATGTTTCCAACATCTTAATCTACAAATCCACTAAAAATACCTGTTTGTCGTGTCTTCTTTGGAATGTGTGTGTGTGTTTTGCAGTGTTGAGAAACATGGCTGAAATGCAGTAGCCACATGCATCCATATAGAAATTTTCTCTTGCACCAAAACCCCACTTATTCCAAATGTGTGCACTAGTGAGGTGTCCAGATACACTGTCATGAATACTGGATCAGTCAGAATAAATCTGTTGAAGTCACACAAGTGATTTCAGGTACCCTAGAGCATTTTTCTTCAATAGTTTTTAAGGAGATACAACAGACAAAACCAGCTTGCTGACAGCTTACTCAGTCATGCAGAACCCAACACAAGATGCAACAGCATGTCCAAGTCAAGCAGTGTCTGAGAGGCTGGGCACACACACTGATGGTGGGATGTGTTACGGGTGGTGACCAGGGGCCATTTATTCCAGGTTCTGCTGGTTTCAGGTTAGTATCAGACACATCTGCTGTCCTCGCATATCGAAATAACGGAACTAGAGATGGTAAGTGCCGCAATTTATATTCACCTACAAGCTAATGAAAGCTGGAAGGCAAGCTCGTTTTTGTGGGCATCATGTTGTGCCACCGAACGAAGGTTCATACCAGAGCAGCAAGATGTATTCTCCCATCTAGAATCCTGCCCCTTCCACCCTCCCCCAAGGAACTGGGCCACTCTCCCTAGTTAGGCCTTTGTAAGTAGGCCAGTGACATGTTTCAGAAGGGAATCTTTTAACATTTCTTGGATCTCTGAGAATTTATTTTGTGTAAATTTTCTTTGGCTCTTTTCTACTCCCTAGTTGGTTGTCACTGTGAGACCTGTGAAGAATGCTGTGAAAGTACTCTTAGTTGGTGTAGGATGACACGTGGAAAGAGTCATGGAGCGTGCTTCCATAGTCTGCATTAAGCCACAGGTGCAGGATGAGGAGAAGTAAAGAAGAAGTATATTTGCTGCAGGATTTGTCATTTCTCTCTGACACTCCTTCCTTAATTTGCCTTTCAGATGATCTTCAAGGCGCTAGGATTTTGGTTTGCATGTGTTAAGGCCATGGTGAAAAGCATTTCCATAGGCTTGGAAGAGGATAACCCTAGCAGCAAGACAAGTGGCTTCGTGGATGCATAAAGCATTTTGTGAGGGGAAAGGGAAAAAAGAAAATTCATATCTTCAACTCAAGCACCTAGTTCTTATTTCTTTACATAGCCAACTGCTGGGGGTTGTTGGGCTAAGGGCAGGTAAAGTATAAGCAGAGAAAAAAAGGAGGAATGGGGAAATGGTTTCCTTTGAAAGAGGCAGCTCTTTACCTGAAACAAGTTGAAAATCAGCATGTAACACTCTTTCAGAGATCTGAATGTGAAGGATTTTTAAGTGAATATAAATCAAACCAACAAGGAAGAAAAGGCAAAAAAATATGTAAAGAAATGAGACCAAACAAGCATTTACAGATGCACAATGATATTCAAGGGAACAAAAAGAACGTTAATTAACTGTTGAAAGAGGAATAATTCTGTGAATAATTTTATCTCATTTAAAAGGTTTAATGCTCTGGAGAACTTGGACAAATTATACACATACAGCCAGCAGGCCCACAGCTGGGGGCTATGTTAAATACATATATCCTATTTAAAGAAGAAGGAATGAGAAGACCCCCTCTGGTACACAGAGGGTAGTGATGGGGACTGACGTTTCCTTAAAATCCTGTCTGCCACCTCAGAAAGGAGAAGTCAGAACTCGGGTCTCTAAACTGAAACGAGCGGGGAGTCATGCGAGATGCACTGGGATGACACACTGCGGTGAGTACATTGCCTCAGTTAGTCGCAGTTCTGCCTCACCCTGAGGGCTTGGGGGACTCGAACCGGCGGCCTACCGGCCTCGCCTACGCGGGCGGGGCGTGGAGGCGCGGGGCCGGGTGGCGAGCGGAAGTGAGGCAGTAAGAGCGAGCGGCGGGCGTGACGGTGGAGCCGGTTGTTGGGCGGCCATGAGCTACGAGCACCGCCGGGACTGGGGCCGCGGCGGCGATGGCGGGCCTTCCTCCGCCGCGGGGGGACACGGGGGCCGCGGCGGGGGCCGCGGGCGCCACCCAAGCCACCTCAAGGGCCGTGAAATCGGGCTGTGGTACGCGCGGAAGCAGGGTCAGAAGAGCAAGGAGACGGACCGGCAGCAGGTGAGGGGCGGCCCCCTTGGGGCAGAGGTACCGCTTGTGCTCCCGGTGCTGGGGCGCCTCGTTCTGCTCACGCAGCGCGGGAGGGGAGGGGGGCTGCGGCAGCCCAGCCGGGAGGGAGCCGACTCAACGGAGCCCTTAACGGGGAGAGGGCGGCGGCCGGGCCGGGCCTCCGTGTTAGAAGTGAGTGCGTTTATGTATGTGTCAGGTACATGTCGATGAGAGTTGTTCTGCTTTTCTGTCAGAGAGCCGTCGTGCGTATGGATGAACGCAGAGAAGAGCGAATTGTGCAGCTCTTGAACACTGTCCAAACTAAAAATGAAAAAGAGCAAGAAGCCATGTCCTGGTGGTCTGGGGATGAAGAAGGGTAAAGAGAAACAGTTACTAATGCTTTTATTTACTTTGACTTGAACAAGCTTCGCACAGACTGACAGGAAGATACGTTAGAAGTTATTTAGATGTAGCTAGTGAGTTAGGTTAACGAACACTCAGTCTTTTCCGCAGGTACTGCCATACTGAAACAGCTGGTTGTAACCATTGCTTGTAAACAGCAACCCTTCCAGGTTGTTGCTGACTTTGGGGTGTTAATTTCTCTTTAAAATTGTAAAAGCCTGTAATTGATCTCCAGGCCTGCTGTAGTAGATATATGGAAATTTTAAGCTCCACTGGCCTCTGGAACGACTCTTCCAGCAGTGGCATTTGACTTCATTTTTCATTTATTGGAAAATAAATCATCTTGAGGTATTTCCTGAGACTCTCTGAAATAGCATCTGCTCTTGTCACATAGAGGATTTTAAATAATAGCAATGAAATAGGTAGGCAGGAGTTTTACTCCTGAGTCCAGTGAACTGGGGAGTTTGGGTCTCCGTTTTGCAAATGATCTGGTTACAGGGCAGTGGTTCTGGCAGTGGACTCAGCAGTAGTTTTCTGGAATGTTTTGTTGCTTTGTTAGGTACAAAGAATATGTTACACTTCTAGATCCAGATGTCAAATTTTTGATGGCTGGTGATTTTCAGACTTTGTTTTCACAGTATACACCATACTGTCATCAGCTGGTGGTCAAGTGACTCCTGAGTGTAATGTCTCAAATCCAGATTTAAGGTTTACTTTGAGTGCTCAGTGCACTCTTCACAGGGGCCTGGCATATCTTGGATAATCTTAGAAACCTCTGTTCTCTGCACTTATTTCAGACCTACTCCAGAACAACCCCCTAAAGTGAAAGCAGAGGCTGAAAAAGCTCCTGTAAGACAGAGACCAGCCTTGGAAAAAACATCTCTTGATCGGGATGTGGAATACCTCTTTGAAAAAAATGAGCAGGATACTAATTTAGATGAGCAACTTAAAGAAGACTTAAGAAAGAAGAAATCTGATCCTAGATATATTGAAATGCAGGTACTTCTCCATGTGTTAAATAGAAAGCTCTTAATTGGCTTTTTAATTTATTTTTTTTTAATTAAATTAGCCTGAAAACATAAGTTCCTGCGGTTTATTTACTAGGAAGTTGTTGTGATGTTACATTTGCCCCAGAATTTACAAAATGCTACCTGTCAGTAGCACAGTAATTTATTATAAAACAGACTTCTGCTTGCATAAAAGCTAAAATTTTAAGATTGTTGATTGTTTAGTTAGGTGGGATTTCTGTTTGTTTTAAACAGATTGCATCCCTGCATTTATGTTTAAAACTGAAAGCACCAAAATGGGCTCTGAAGGAATTGCCTCTCAAAAACATAGTTTATGTTGGTCTAATAGCCATATATAAAGCTGTTAAATGAAACAGTCTTTCTGTGAGCAGATGGTCCTTCTGTTGGTCCAGGGCCCTGATCTTGCAACTGTATTTGTGCACCTCTTCATATACTGAGCTCTTGGTTTTGAGTAACTTTGCTAAATTAATCAAACTGAAACATTCTCAGAATTGAACATGTTTTCTAGTGGGCCTATATTTATGTAAGTATTAATTGAACAATTTGTTGTGTTATTTTACAGTTTAGCCTAGATCATAGATGAAATTGCTTATATTACTTCAGTCTTGAAGAGGTGTTTAAAGATACATAATGTTGTTTTCTTTTTTCTCAGAGATTCCGAGAGAAACTCCCTTCATATGGGATGAGACAGGTAAATGTGTATTTAAGTTGAAAGAATGCATGTTTCTGTGGCTCTGTTGTAAAAAAGGAAAAAACTGTTGTGTAACTGGGACTAACAGGAAACTTCTGTTGCCTTTTATAAAGGTCATGAAGCCTCCTACATTCTGACTCTGAGTTTGACTTCTTCCCTGAAAGTAGCTCTGGTTCACTGCTTCAAGATATGTATGAAGTTACTCTGGGGCTAGATAAGGATTTATGAGCAGGGGCAGCATTAGTTGTGGAAATGGTAGTGAATGATTACATTTATGTACACTTTTTTAAGTGTAGGTGGACTTTCTATGCCAGTTAAACTTCTAGAATGTTCCTAGTTGCTTGGATTTTGGATAGAGTAATTGACAACTATGTAAATTGTCATGCTTTCTTTTTCTTACGTAGGTAAAATTGTGGCCTTTTGTTTAATATTTGCCCAAGTTAGAATTGAACAAAATGCTGATTAAACCCTTTTTACTCACAGAATTAGTGGCTGTACTGCTGGCTTTTACTGACATTAGTCTCCCAGTCAAAGTATAACATAAATGATAGTATGGGTTATTACTAATTGATGTTTATTCTTCATTTGATGTTGCCTATACGAAATAGAAATTGGGTATTTTGTTATCTTCTTTTTTGCAGACTCAGTGAACAATTAGTGAGCTTTTTTCCAAAGTTAATGTGTTTGTCATCATGTAGTCCTTCCTGTTAGTGTTTGTTTCTTAAAATAGTTATATTCCCCTTTACAATCCTTTGGATTATGGGTAGAGACAGGAGTGTAAGAAATCTGTTCCTATTGGTATAAGAAATATTGAAATATTGTGCTGAAAATCTTTAGTTAGTGCAGTCTTGGAGTCCAAGGGGGAGAACGCTTGTTTTCAGTCACCAAAGACAAGCACATGGCAGGTAGGAGGGAGAAGATTTTAAAAACTTATTTCAGGCTTTCATTTTAGTTATTTTATGTTGGTTTTGCACAGGATCTTGAGTATTTTAAACTAGTATTCAGGTTCGATACAGTTTAAATCTCACGTGAAGCGCGAATGTGCAGGATTTACTTCTGTGTGCTTTAAACTTAATTTTTTTTTATTTAAACTTTTTTTTTTTTTTAGTATTACAAGAAACAGGTATCTTTTCTTTTAGGTGCTATGGCACTTTCTTCTAAGTTTACTGCACAGTAGCAGAGGATTGTCAAAATGCTTCTAAAATCTGTTTCAGACAATAAAGCATTTGTTTTCTCTTTGGAAACAGGAACTTGTAAACCTTATAAACAATAATCGAGTAACTGTGATCAGTGGTGAAACTGGTTGTGGAAAGACAACCCAAGTGACACAGTTCATCCTGGATGATTACATTGAGCGAGGGAAAGGGTCTACATGCAGGATTGTTTGTACTCAGCCTAGGAGGATCAGTGCCATCTCGGTAAGTGCTGCTTTGACAAATAGAGATACTTTGTCGTGGTTTAAACCCAGTCAGGTAATTCGTTCGCTCACTTCCCCCCCCTTTTCTTGCCCTCCCCCTGCTCTCGGAGGGACGGAGAGGAGAATCAAAAAGAATGCAACTCCCACGGGTTGAGATAAGAACAGTTTAGTAACTAAGGTATAACACAAATCACTACTGCTACCACCAATGATAATAATGATAAAGGAAATAACAAGGGAAGAGAATACATCATCTCACCACCAGCCAACCGATAACTCGCCCCCCCAGCCCGACCAAGCTCTGACCGATACCTCCTCCAACCCTGCAGTCTCCCAGCCCTTCCGGCTAACTCCCAGTCACATCTTGGGCATGACGTGCTGTGGTATGGAATACCTCTTTGGCTAACTTGGGTCAGGTGTCCTGTCTCTGCTTCCTCCTGGCTCCCCCTCCTCCCTGGCAGAGCATGAGGCTCACAAAGTCCTTGGCCAAACCAAAACATCGCTTGTTATCAGCTCTGTTCCCGAGCTGAAAGTCAAAACACTGCACTGCACCAGCTACCAAGAAGGGGAAAAATGACTGCTACTGCTGAACCCAGGACATTATCCACCCCTTATTCCATACCATTCACGTCATGCTCAGATCCCACATTTTCAATATACCATCACTCTTATCTCAGTGCACTCTTATCTTAGTGCATGGACCAGTCCCTATAAAGCTGCTGAGTCCATCTGGTCCATGATGTCAGGCTCCATCTCTTGTAACAGTCTTCCAGAGCAGGAGAGACTGTGTGCAGTGTTCACACTCGTGAATAACCTGGGCAATAGTGTCCATTGCTAAGTCCACCCCTCGATCATGAGTCCATCTCTGTGTTGCATCTCTGCTCTGATGGCCTGAAGTGCATTGGGCCCACCAGGCTTAAAATAATTCACTGTCCCCTTTAGCAGTTTCTGCAGCTTGTTGCTGGGGACTCCATACAGCTGCCTTCCATCTCCAATGCTTCCAAAGCACTGGAGAGGCCCAGTGGACTAGATACTTGCCCATACTGTCACACACACCCTGCCACTCCTGGCTGTGCAGCCTTGGGGAAAACCTCTTGGTCCCCCTGTATTGTCGTCTAACCCCAGACAAGACCCAAACCTGACTCTGCTTAACTTTTGAGATCAGACAAAATGGTTGTGGGTAGAACACAGTCTGTGTGTGTGCCAACATGCTGATCCCCATCACAATCAGCAGGCAGGTCCCAAGGATGCTCAAAGGCCATTCAAAACCTCCAGAACTCTCAACTGATGCTGCTGTACTTGTCACTGGGGCTGGTGCAGCTGCTGTGCTTGTCACTGGGGCTGGTGCAGCTGCTGTGCTTGCCGGCTCTCCCACCGCCAGCTTCTCTTTTCCTGAGTCCAGCTCTTCCTCCTCTGCCTTGCTGGGAAATGCTGCGTGGTCTCCTGCATCCTCCTGGGGCTCGGCGGGCGGCTTCCGGGAAATGCTTTCGGCCGTCGCAGGGCTGGGCTCCTCCGCGGGGCTCGGCTCTTCCGCGGGGCTCGGCTCCTCCGCCGCCTTCTCCCGCTGCTCGGCAGCCCCCTCCTTCTGCTCCTCGACCGCCCCGACCTCCTCCACCGGCAGCCGTCCCCTCGCGGCCTCCGGCCCCGCTCCTGCCGCCGCTTGGTCCCCGGGGCCGCTCTCCCGGGCCGCTTCGGCTGCCTCCGGCTCCCGAGGCCGCTCCCCCTCGGCTCCCCGCAGCCTCACGAAGATGGAGAGTAGGGCGAGGGCCAGGAGGGTGAAGAGCAGCCGGACGGCCACGTACAAGTCCACGGTCACGTCCGTCCCGCCCTGCTGCTGGAGCCCGCCCGTATTACAAGCCATTGCCATAAAGCACAGTGAGACAAGAACCTTAGCCCAGGCCCCACACTTGATAAACACTATCACAGCAAATACCGGCTCTACATAAGTTACAACATTCTGAAGCTGTGAGATCAACAAGAACAACTCTGAGAGCCAATAAATCAGCATTGTGACGAGTGACTATTAATCCAGTCAAATCTGTCGTTATCTCAACCCTTCGTGCCCCACGTTGGGCGCCAAAAAGAACTGTCGTGGTCCAAACCCAGTCAGGCAACTCGTTCACTCACTTCCCCCCCTTTTCTTGCCCTCCCCCTGCTCTCGGAGGGACGGAGAGGAGAATCGAAAAGAATGCAACTCCCACGGGTTGAGATAAGAACAGTTTAGTAACTAAGGTATAACACAAATCACTACTGCTACCACCAATGATAATAATGATAAAGGAAATAACAAGGGAAGAGAATACATCATCTCACCACCAGCCAACCGATAACTAGCCCCCCAAGCCCGACCAAGCTCCGACCGATACCTCCTCCAACCCTGCAGTCTCCCAGCCCTTCCGGCTAACTCCCAGTCACATCTTGGGCATGACGTGCTGTGGTATGGAATACCTCTTTGGCTAACTTGGGTCAGGTGTCCTGTCTCTGCTTCCTCCTGGCTCCCCCTCCTCCCTGGCAGAGCATGAGGCTCACAAAGTCCTTGGCCAAACCAAAACATCGCTTGTTATCAGCTCTGTTCCCGAGCTGAAAGTCAAAACACTGCACTGCACCAGCTACCAAGAAGGGGAAAAATGACTGCTACTGCTGAACCCAGGACATACTTTTTGTGATTTACTTCCCCCCATTAAATCTGAGGAAATACTACAGCCTTCCTTGCAGTCATTGAATGAATGAATGATGTCTCTACCCTCACATGTACTCATGCTAAGTTTAAAGCATTCAGCCTATAGCGGACAGTGAAGGTGTTTATTTTAAGTTGTCTTAGATTCTATTGCAAATAACAATTTTGTTAATATACACTACTTTGATATTTCATAAGTTTTGGTTGTTAAGAGAGTACTGGCACTGCAGGTCACTCTTGTGCCTGAATTTAATCAAAGCTTTTATCTGTGATTTTAATAGATTTGGGCAGTGCAAAAGTGAATGAAGGTAAACAGTAATGTTTCCAGATGGTTTAGTGGTATATTAAAGAAAGAATTTGTCTTAAGTTCACAGTGATTCTTGATAGTTAAATGTCAAATGATTATAGAACCATACTTCCTTTAAGGCAAGCTCATCCTGCTGAAAGTGTGAGAGTATTGCTAATGCCTATATGGTTATGGTTAATATCTCCTGGGTCACACCCTTGTTCTCGGATTGCTGACGGGAAAGGCTGTTTTCAGTGGAGGGGTGAAAGTGATTTTTAGGGTGTTTCTTTGTTGTTTGTGTACCATCTTGATTCTAAATATTCCTTGCTGCTGAGTAGCTAAATCATAATCAGCCATGTGGGGTTACAAAATTTCTTTAATGCACTGTTTTGTTTTTTTTTATTTTTCTAAGGTGGCTGAGAGGGTGGCTGCTGAAAGGGCAGAAGTATGCGGTAGTGGCAAGAGTACAGGATACCAAATTCGTCTACAGAGGTAAGAAAGGCTCCTCTGGCAGTTTTTGTGCATTTATGTAAAGTGCTATCTATTACTCAAGCAAGAGAAAATTTGAGAAGTAGTTCTTAATGTGGATAACATTAAGATGACATTCTGATATTTTCTCCAAAAAGAATTCCTGTGGCTACCTGGTGTAGAGAATAAGGTTTTAGAAATACAGCACAAAGCTTGCGTGCAGTTGTATTTTATGCAGTGTTGTAGCTAGCACTAAATCATACTTTGTCCAAGCCCTTTTTTCAGCCCTTTTAAAAGGTCCTGCTGTAGATAGAGATAAAACTGATGTTCCTAATCCATGAATTTCAAGGAAAAACAGAAATGCTAAAAGAGAGAATGCTACAAGACATATTTCTATGGAAAACTTAAGTATTTGCTACCTATTGTTACCTGTTGAGTAATCCCACTGGGATCAGGTAATAAAATTAGGTGGATTGACAAGAGTTTGTAGACCTAGTGCCATAGAGAAAAGGCTATTACATTTGGAGTAGTCTATTAAAAACAAAAACCAAAAACCAGGTAAATGTTGCCAGCAAATAATGGAATCTCAATTATAATTGCAACAAAACTGCTGGTGAGACATAACAGCTTAGTACTTTCAGTGTTTTAATTTAATACAGTTGTAGAATCATAGAATGGTTTGTGTTTGAAAAGATCTTAAAGCTCATATAGTTTCATCTTCCTGCCATGGGCAGGGCTACCTCACACCAGACCCGGTTGCTCAGAGCCCCGTCCAACCTACTCTTGAACACTGCTAGGGATGAGGCAGCCACAGCTTCTCTGGGCAGCCTCTTCCAATGTCTCAACACCTGCGCAGTGAAGAGCTTCCGTATATCTGACCTAAATCTCTCCTCTGTGAGTTTAAAGCTATTCCCCCTTGTCCTGTTTGAATTTATAGAAGCTCATTTATGTGTTTCTTCTTATAATTTAATCAATAATGTTATACTGCTGCATATTTTATCATCTGTGCTGAGCTTAGCTAGCAACGAGAATTTGGGGTCAGCAGATCCATGTGCAAATGATGAAAATGTCTGGGAAGTCAGGAGTTCTGTCAGATGACAAGTAGTTCATAACCTTTCAGGAAAAGTGCTGCGACTGTGGGCTCATTCCTTTGTTCCTCCAGCTGAACTCTAGGTGAGCAAGTTAGAGAATGAGGCATACTCACTAATGTCTGTAATGACTATCTGCATTTTGATTTTAAGCTTGTAAGGCACTATGTAAAACACAGAAGAGAACTGAGGAATTCTGAATGTGTCTCTTTCAGTCGGTTACCAAGGAAACAAGGTTCAATATTGTACTGTACTACAGGAATTGTCCTACAGTGGCTCCAGTCAGATAAGTAAGTTTTCCTGTTTAGTAAGAAACTTAATACAGTTATGAAATGACTTGACTACTGAGCTGCTTCTAACAGTCTCGGTGGTTTTTTTTTTTTAATTTTGCGAAAAACAAAATGCTTTACTTTCTACTCTTCTCTTTTAGGAACTTGTCCAGCATTAGTCATGTAGTCCTTGATGAAATTCATGAAAGAAATCTTCAGTCAGATGTTTTAATGAGCATTATTAAAGATCTTTTGAATATTCGTTTGGACCTGAAAGTAATACTCATGAGTGCTACTCTAAATGCGGAGAAGTTTTCGGAGTATTTTGGTAGGTGAAGTGCTTCCTATAAATGTTCCTCGTAAGTAATTTAGGCTTCTACAGTATAATGCAGTTCTCAGGTTTTAGGATTGATTTTTAGCAAGTGAGGTAATGACTTCAATTTTACGGATAGTTGCCAGCTGCCGGAGATGCTTATTCCCTTCAGTGTTATGAGCATACACTGCTTCTGTATGTGTTTGTATGGTGGAAAGGGGTTGTGGTTTAAGCCAAAAGGGTATTCAGAGTTTTCATATTATAATATTTACCATATTTTGGAAGTCTTGGTCTGAGCGGGCAACCAGATTGAAGCACAGTGAACATGCTGGCAAACAATGTACTGCTTGCTACCAATGTTTTTTATTCAGCTCCCTGTGCTTTTTGTATTAGCCACTCTATTTGGAATTGAATTTGGTGTCTTCTGTGAGAATTTCAAAATAAATGAAAAAACCCGGTAGACTTGGCAACTATATTACAATCAATAATTTTTACTATTTTTGCCTCTTAGTACAGTATTTTTTGCCATTTTAAAACAGAGTTATGCCTTCCTCAACAGATAATTGTCCAATGATTCACATACCTGGATTCACCTTCCCTGTGGCAGAATATCTCCTCGAAGACGTAATTGAGAAGTTGAGGTAAGTGTATTATCTGAAACACCATTACGTAGTATTTTGGGTTATTTTGCTTTTTATGTCTTCTCAGAATTTACCTTGGTATAAATAACCTGTGCAAGAATTAGCTGTTTTTCGACAGAGAACCTTTCAAGGGAAGTTCAATTTTAGCATAATTGAAAATGGCATATAGCTATCTGGAAATGCTGGCTTGAGGAAGGGAAAGAAAAACAACTTGTCTGCCTTCCAGTGTGGTGAATTTTTAGCTTGAGGAGGGGGAAAAAAAACTTGTGTTTCAGTGTGGTGAATTTTTGGGCTACTAAATCAAGCTAGTCTTTCCATTTGCTCAGACTTTTTCTGCATATTCTCACACTTACTGGAGTTGGTACCTGGTTTTATAGATAAGATTTCTTTCAGGAAAGAAGCGTAATCTTATTTACATGGTATAGCCAAAGTGCAACATATTATCCATAGTTTGAAGGTGGTTTTAAAGTGCTATAGTTTCAAAATTGACTTACATGTGTTATTTAAATGTAAAGGTATACTCCAGAAAACACAGACCGTCGGCCACGGTGGAAGAAAGGCTTCATGCAAGGACATGTAAGCAGGCCAGAAAAAGAAGAAAAAGAGGAAATCTACAGGGAACGATGGCCAGGCTACTTAAGGCAGCTGCGGGGCAGGTTGTTCTCGAGAGTTACTCTTTAGCATTAACTTTTTAGACACTTCTAAACTGAGAAACAGAAATAAGTCCTCTATTCTATTACTGTGCTTTTATTAATGATGGGATAGTTGCTACTGTGGAAAACAGTAATGATGGAATTGCCAGTACCGTTGGCTAGCAACCGCTGAAGTGCTTTCGAGTTATCACAGAGAATTAGCTTCCTCTGCTTGTGCAAATTGTAAGAAGGCTTACAGCTGTGGAGTTGCTTGGTGTTGGTGTTGCCCATTACAGTCTTCGCCATAACATTAGGCTTCTTCAGCTTTGGTCTTTAGTTCTCTTCTAACGAGTAATTCCCTTCTTCAGTCTTTGAGAGTTTTCATAATATTTTAGTCCTGTAATCAATATAATAAAAAGTATGCTGGTTTATAAACCACTCCCCACAAAAAATACCAAAACCAAAATTAAAACCCCTTTTTCTCAGAATATTTAAGTACTCCTCTAGGGTGATTTAAAACCAACCTAAATAATTTTGCCTCTTGAGCACCTAGTAGAGACTGTTTACTTGAAACACAGCATTTGACTACTTTGGTGATCTGGATAGGTTGATTAATTGGATAGCCTGACTGATTTCTCAGGAACAACATCTCACTGTTTTATTCCCATCTTACCCTCTGCATTTGGAACTGTGTGTATATCTAGCTTGCAACAATAATGAATACAGGTGGCTCAGCTTCATCTCCCTTTTCTAAGGGAAAACTCCTCAGTGGTGTGTCTTTCTCTGGCCTGTCCCATACTCTGCTCAGTCCATTTGTGTTCCTTCCCTTTCCCACTATGTCTTTTGAACCAGTTGGCAATTCTTTTGACACTGTTAACTTTCATGAACCAGAGCTGAACAGATGTTTCCTGTACTCACTGTGAGTTAGAGAGGTAAACTCAGATTAGTTAGGACATTGTTAATCTGTGGGGAGAGAGAGATTGTGTAAATGCTTCAGATGCTGTTTGGTCATAACATGGTAATTCTTAATGCTGGTATTCCAAACTGATGATAATTGCACTAAACTAAATCTTGAGAGCACATTGAAGGTACAGTAATTGAGCAGACAAAATAAATTGGTGTAGTGGATTACATAGATGTGTGGTTGCAGAGCCTTATAACAGAAACTTGAGTGCATGGCTGTGTGTGTTACTAAGGTACCATTGTGTGTGCTTTTCATGCCTGCAGGTATTCAGCAAGTACTATAGATGCCTTGGAAATGATGGATGATGACAAGGTTGACCTTGACCTTATAGCAGCGCTTATCAGGCACATTGTTTTGGAAGAAGAGGTACACTTCTGTCTCCTGTCTTCCCATTCTAATGATGTGACTGAATTGTGGTTAGTGGCTGTTGGGAATGTCAGAGCTGACAGTTTGGCTTCTCATGCAGATAGAATAATTTCTTGTTTTGCTCTTCTGAGAAGTAATCTAACAGCTGTAAGTATCTAATTACTATTTAAGCCCTGAGTTAAGAATGTGGTTAGTTGCAGTGTTTATTGAAACGATGGGATAGAATCTGTGTTTAAAGGGGAACACATGTCTAAGCATTTCCTTGAGTGGGGGTTGTGGGTATTAATGAGAACTACGTACAGAAGAAACTTGGAAAACTTAGAACTACATTTGTTTTACTCATTTATGGTGTCTTCTGAGCAAGGGGAATAAAAGACCCTGAATTCTTTCAATGACAATATCTATGAGAGGTTGTTTAGTAGATAAAGTGGGAGAGATATCTGAAGGTTTGAGTGCCATTTTGATTCAGATTGATGAACTTTTTTCTTTTGGCTAAGTTTTTAAAGAAGCCTTCAAATTAATTACACACTTTAGTTATTTGATGGAAAATAGTATAATTAAAAATTAAATTTTAACTTCTAGTTCTTTCTGTGACCTTGTCTGTGTTTGTTAAAGGTAGTATTCTTTGTAGTAAAAGTTAGATTATGTGAAACAGGTGTAGAAAACTGTTTGAAGACCTCTTTAGTGTACAACTGTATCCCTGTTCTTAATTCCTCAGCATTGGGGTGAGGGGGCAAGAGCGATACTTAAGAAGCTGTTCACTGCCCCGTATCTACACTATGCAGTTGGCTTTAATAGTTCTTCTGCTGGAAGCTGTATCTAAATACAGCTTGGATGCTGAAAAGAATGAATTTTTATACAACCTAGCTAAAGTCTAATCACATTTACCAAACTAGCTAGCAGAATCTTCCAGCTTCCAGCTTGTCAAGATTAGTAGTTAGTACAGCTGCATTAATAGTTATCTCTAAATGTGCCTTACCTTGTTATTTAGTAATAATATTATCAGATTATTAATGTGAGAAAGTTCCTATGCCTGAAGAAGTAGCAAGCATAAGAATAGCATCTGTTACCATAGGTGTAACGTAGCTTCTCATAACCTGAAGTTAACATGTTTGTTTCTGAGTTGGAAAAACATTTGTGGGAGGGCTGACACCATGTCTGATTCCTTAATGAGAATTTTTATTGTTAAAAGTATCAAACAATTTAGTATTGCAGATGATAGCTCAATTAAGGTGTGAGTAATAAGGAGGAGTTGCTGTTTTGTATTTTGTTCTTCCTGTGTTGAAAATTGTAAAACCTGTATATCTGTTTTATTTGCAGCTAAAAGTCTTCTAGTGTTGACTTGGCTGTGTTTAAAGACACTTCAGGGGAAACATGTTTAAAATCAAATGTTTTATTACGTTCATATAAATATGTAACTCTTAGAGGAAACCAACTTATAAACTTTGCTCCAAATTCCAGTCAGCAAGGTTTCAAGTATTACATATCCAATATTTCTGTATTAGTGTGCAAGTAGCTTGTTCTTTGCAGTTTATTCTGACCTCTTTTCCCTTCCCTTTTATGTATAGGATGGTGCAATTCTTGTGTTTCTTCCAGGCTGGGACAACATTAGCACGTTGCATGATCTCTTGATGTCACAAGTCATGTTTAAATCAGGTAAACCCAAAATTTTACATTGAAATTCTAGCATTGGTGTTAGTGGCAAACTTGTAAGTTTTGTATGTGATTGCTGGTATTGCACTGGGTTTGGTGTGGGGTTTTGGTTTTTTGGGTTGTTTTTTTTTTTTCCCTCCATTCTCCTGTTAAAATGATTGTAGTGTCTTCAGCTTTTTTGCGTTTATATGGTATCTTTCATCTGCTAATGGTAGCTCATTTTCCTCAGTGTAGGTGTGAACAGTCTGAGAAAGAATCTCAGACCTGCATCTTTTTCTGTTGTCCTTTCTTGTAGCTGCAGTAACTTCCAAACTAAACTCTCTCTTCATTCTGTGTTCATTTCCTCTTTTCTTGATTCTTCAGCAGCTTCTGTTTACTGTTTTGCCTATAGTTCTTTTAAATTCTGTTTATCCCTAGAAGCTTTTATAATAAGACACTAAAAATCTGATGCACATTCATTTGTCCTGTCTGCGTAACTCATAATTCCATCTGACTTGTCTAACTATGCTCTTGACTGTTCAGGTAATTGTTGTGCAGTTCATGTTGTATACATTCCACAGATAAGGAATTGAATCTCTTGAAAGATGAAGCAGTGACAGTTTATTTATTAAACTTCAGCAATTTTAAAATGGTTTGAGTCTTTAAAAATGAAATATAAATTACTGTACATAACTTCATATGCTTTCTTAAACTTGTCATCATAGCATAATAAAAAAATCCTTTACATCTTTTTACTTTATAATTTGCCATTATATACATATACCTATCAATTCTGAATAAGAAACAGAATACTTACAGCTTATTTTCTCTATTCTGCATAGTTTGATTTTCCCGTAAAATTACAGTTTCTGTGCTTATACTGTATCTTCTACTGATTTTTAATTTTCAGATAGGTTTATTATCATACCTTTACATTCATTGATGCCTACTGTTAACCAGACTCAGGTATGCCTTTCTTTTATTGTTCTACTTCACAACTACAAAAAACATTACTTAAGCATATGTTTGGTTTTGGCAAACATATAAATGGGCCATGGATAATTACAGGTTTTTAAGAAGACCCCGCCAGGAGTAAGGAAAATCGTGATTGCTACCAACATTGCAGAGACTAGGTAAATAGCTAGCTATACAGACCCAAACCAGCTCTATACTTAACAAAATAAATGAAAGTCATAATTTAAAGTATTAACCTGTTAATGTTTCAAAACATATGTTTTTGGTTTTGTACCATTCATTTATAACCCATTACGTTTAGAAATGTTTATAGACTAAACGGGAGATTTCCTTTAATTGTCTTAAACAATTAAAACATAGATTTTACTATAATGACTTGTCTTTGTTGCACATGATAAATGTGACCTGCCTGTTCTCCCTATAGGCTTCATAACCCCACATGATGACTTTTGCTAGACCTAGGAGAATAAATGTACCTATTGAACTGCTGCTTAGAAACCTAATTCTGAATGAAATTCCAAACAAATTTTTGTAATTGTTGGCTCACAATTTGGGAGGGGATAAGGAGAGGATAAACCCCCCTTTTAAATCCTACATCAAGCTTGCAAAGATGAAGAGCTGCTTTTTTTTTTTTCTCTCTTTTCTTAAACAGCATTACAATAGATGACGTCGTGTTTGTTATAGATGGTGGAAAAATAAAGGAAACTCACTTTGACACACAGAACAACATTAGCACAATGGCAGCAGAGTGGGTTAGTAAAGCTAATGCCAAGCAGAGGAAAGGTCGAGCAGGAAGGTAAGAATAATGTGGGTAGTTAGAACTTAAGTTTTGTGGGGCTGAATTTCTTTAGTCTTGGAGCACATGCAGGCTGAAGATGTGACTTTGTTATTCCTATGTTCAGCCGCAGATTCTAGCACAACTCCCTCTTGTACTTAGGGAAAGAATGGTTTCTTGTCTAGGGAACTGATTTCACTTGTGCTGTGCTGTGCTTCATTCTTGGAGAAGTCCTGCTTTTTTTTACTGTGTTCTGCATGCCTGTTTCCTGTTGATGGGTCTGTGTTTCAGAAGGCTGAAATGTTTTTTACAGTTGAATACACCTGTTTCATTTCCTTGAGTTGTTTTGAAAGCTGTTTATAAACATAATGTCATAGTGGCATAGGAAAAAACCTCATACAGTTATTTATTTAAATAATTGCAGAGTTCAGCCAGGCCACTGTTATCATCTGTACAATGGACTCCGGGCTAGCCTTCTAGATGATTATCAGTTACCAGAGATCTTGAGGACACCTTTGGAAGAACTCTGTTTACAAATCAAGGTAAACATATGAATCTTCAAACCTATTAATTATCTACTTTTCCATTAGAATAATAGGTTGAGAGATAATGCAACTGTGAGCCTGGGGTTGTATTCAAGTTGAAATTCTGTTACTCCAGAAGTAACAGACATTAAGCTAGTAATTGTAGCAACTTCTGCAGAAGGCATACTTGTATCTGGAGGCATCAAGCCCGGGAAAAATAGGGTTGTCTAGTATAAATAAAAGCTGAAGTCTGTTAACAAAATCTTGGGCTGTGCTTCCTTTCCTCTCCCCCCAAATATCATTCAGTCAGAGGAGCTTCAGTGGGAATGCCAGTGTGTCAAGGAATGTGATGATTTCTTAAGAGAAATTTACTAAAAAGTAGTTTTAGGACTGACATGAGTTTCCCTTTTTAGGCATTTCGTATGGAATTCCTTATGCATGCCTATGGAATACCATGTCTGTGCATACTGAATGAAAAATAGATCCTTATGCTTCAAATGTCGTCATTAATTTTATTTTATTCCTTAGTTCTTAATTGGTGAAATTCAAACTGAACCTTTTGAGTTATTCACACCTGAAATCAGTGTGGTCATTGCTTACTAAGTGTAGGTAGCCATCTTTCTTCAATTGCTGTAGGTTTTTGGTTGAGTGTTTGTTGTTTTGTTGTTTGTTTTTTTTTCCTTCAGATTCTAAAGCTTGGTGGAATTGCTTATTTTCTGAGCAAACTAATGGATCCACCATCTCGTGATGCTGTAATGCTGGCCATAAATCATCTAATGGAGCTGGTAAAGTATTACTTAATTTACGTGCAAGGCAGTACCTGTTTATAACCATGTTACTGCATTGTTTGTTATCAAACAGTTCGGATTCTACAGGTCTGGACATTGCAACCCCATACTCTATTGTGTAGACTTTTATATATCTTCACTGAAGAGAGGAAATAATTTTGCATCATAAATGATGTTTATGGCTGCATAGAGTAGTTCCTTTCTAAATTATTCATAACATACATGCACCTTGATTGAAGTTCCCTACAGATAGTTACTAAACTCATAACTTCTGTATCACCCTGTTCATTCTGTTCATCCACCAAGCTGCATCCACCAAGCCTTCCTATCCCAGTCAGATCAGTGAAGAGTTTGAGATACTTTTCCTGTGGGCAAGTAAAAGCTTATAGGAGACAGATCTTGTATGTCATTGCCCCTTTGGATGCTGGGGAAGGAGAGATTAATGACGTGTTTGTACCACTGGTATTATTTGTACAAATTGGTTTTAGCAATAAATTGAAACTTCTGATTCAGGTGAAGAGCACTATCTCGCACTGATGGTGTGATTCTATGGATGTGTAGGTAAAATTAAAATTCAGCCATACGTTTGGTGTTCTGTGACAATGCTGTGCAGTAGTGAAGGGTAAAGTAAATGCAAACAGAAGGTAAGGGTAAAGACAATTCTAAAAGGAAGCTTGATCAGGAGAATAGAAAGACACTCAAATGTTAGTAATTCTTCATACTTTTGTCCAGAAAGACACTGAGCCTAGTAAACCCCACAACCAGCACAAAGCTGGTTGCTATTTTCTTGGCTCTAGTTAAGCATTTTAATTTCTTCGTAACTTGCTTGATTACTTTCCTACCATACCTCATTGACAGCCAGCTACGTTCTTCAGCTATTAGGTTTTTGTTGTTCTCTAGGTAGACTAGTGGCTATTTCAAGGAAATCCTCTCCATTTCTAATACTGTGTTTACTCTCCCCCCCCCGGCCTGTTTTTGTTTGGTTTTTGTTTTTTTTTTTTCTTTCTCCTCCTTTTGACAGAATGCTTTGGACAGACAAGAGGAACTGACTCCACTAGGAGTCCATTTAGCACGATTACCAGTTGAACCACATATTGGAAAAATGATCCTCTTTGGAGCTTTATTCTGCTGCTTGGATCCAGTTCTTACAATTGCAGCCAGCCTCAGCTTCAAAGACCCTTTTGTCATCCCTCTGGTAAAGTTTCTGGGACGAGAATTACACGTCAGATTTTAAGAATCTCAGAAGGATGTTGGGACCTACTGAGATGCTATAATTTAAAATCACTTTAATCTTATTTTCATTTTAATTACATTTTTATTAGTGAAAGTTTGCCTTCATGTACTATGAGGTCTTGTCTACAGAATATTGGAAGGAGCTTTACTTTTCATTAGATTTCATTACATTTCATGTTGCATACAAAGTATTGCTGTATATATAATAATTAGGAAAATGGAACTGTTGTGTCATGAATACCTTATAGGTTCTAATTATTCTTAGGGCAAAGAGAAAGTAGCAGATGCAAGAAGAAAGGAATTGTCAAAGAACACTAAAAGCGATCATCTAACTGTGGTGAATGCTTTCATGGTAGGCATGTTTTAATGTTGTTTTCCTTCTAGAATTATAATTTGAGTGATATGGTTTATTCTAAGGAGGAAACTGATCAGTATGTGTTCTGTTGTATTCTGTATATATATATTCAGTATATACTCTGTTGTATAGTGTGAAGGAATCTTATCTTCAGGCTCAATCACCAAATTTCTTGTGATGTCTGTGAAAGTGACAAAGAAAACAGTGTTATAATTACCTTGCTGTATTCTTGTTCTTTTGGTTTCTATAAAAACCTGAACCTGAAATTCTGTCTAACTTAGCTCGATTTCACTCCTCACATTGAAAAGGAAAGTTTTTGATTCAGAATGTTGTGAAGTTGTGTATTTCTGCTCTGTTCTGCAGATACATAAAGGGATCAAAGGATTTGCTTCCTCTCTTGTAGAGAAAAATGTATCTGTATTGGTGGTTGACCTCCATGTTTTCATTGTCCTTAGTTGTTTTGTTTTTTTTTTATGTGTTCAGTCACAAACGCCTTTGAACTACGGTTTTAATTTTTAGGGCTGGGAAGAAACTCGGCGTCGTGGCTTCAGAACTGAGAAAGACTATTGCTGGGAATATTTCCTGTCTTCAAATACACTTCAGGTAAAATCCTAACAGTTTAGAGGATGATTGTGTCTGTGGGGAAAATGGGAGGCCTTTTGGCACAGCATCATTTTGGGACTACTTTTGTTTCCTAGATGCTGCATAACATGAAAGGGCAGTTTGCTGAGCATCTCCTTGCAGCTGGTTTTGTGAATAGTAGAGACCCCAAGGATCCCAAATCTAATACCAACTCAGGTAAATAGTGGAAGGAATTGGAAGATTTCTGATAGCTGAAATCTCAGTGTGCAGAACTGTTTGGTTTACTTTGCTGTCTTCTACAGATAATGAGAAGTTGCTCAAAGCGGTCATCTGTGCTGGTTTATATCCGAAAGTTGCAAAGATCCGGCCAAGCTTCAGCAAAAAGAGAAAAATGTAAGGGTTTGGCTTAATATTGGTTGTATTCAAGGCATTTTCTACATATTGGGTAGTTGGGCAAGGTGAAGCAAAGACCCTGATTGCAGGAACGAATATCCTTTTATAGCTCAAGTCATGGTTGTGGGTTACTTCCTTTGGGAAGGGTAGATGAGGGCTTGGGATTGTTGATCTTTACTTTGTTTAACATTTGGGTACCTGCTAGCCTGAAATGGTTTGTGTGACCTTATTGTGCCATGGTTAGTGTTACAGTGTATCAGTAACACTGCTGCTGAAGGAGCTGGACCATCAACAAGCAGTGGTTGAAACACAGTCCTTTCTTACTGTTTGGCAAGATTGAGCCCAGAAATTCTGGTCTGGTGTTTTGTCGCTTCTTATATTATCAGACTATTTATTCTTATTAGCTGTTACTCACAGTAATGGTACTCTTGTCAGAATGTTGGTACTGTCCTTTGTGAACATGATTAAAGAGTGAGCATAGATTCAAGGGTTGAAGATTTTGATCAGCTTCCTGGGTGTGTAATGTCAAAACAACAAGCTAAGAGGAATCATTATGCCTATAATTAAAAAAAAAAGCCAACTAAGAAAACCCAAGTGTTTATTTCTGTGAAAGGAGTAAGAGACAGGTAGTCAAAATTACACTCAATATAGCATAATTTACACCTGTTTATACCTGACGCTGCTAGTCAGTTGATAACTCTTTAATCATGCTGGAGTCGCCTGAAGGATGCAGGAAGTTCGGACACCTGATGCAAGCTGCTGTGTTGCTCTGTCTTTGCCGCATGGTGGAGCTGCTTGTATGCCTGCTGCCCAGGAAGGCTGTTTTATGATGCGCTAAGCAAGAGATTTGTTACAGTAACCGTTTTGCCTCTCTCACCTTAATTCAGTAACACTGCCTTTCATTTGAACAGCGCTGGCACTTGATTTTTAGGGGGGTAGATTTGACAAAAAATTCAAGCTTCTTGAAATACAGAGAGAGATGTCTGAAAATTTGTACTGTAGAGTCAGTGGTAATCTTCTATGGAAAGGGTTAAAGTTTCTTTGAATGTCCCTGTATTTTCAGAATTTAGTATGCTAGTAGAGAATTAGAGATTTTCTTAACTTGAGACCCGATTGTGCTGAACTTCCATGATCTTACTTCAATCCTAAAATAAAAACTTTTCTTTTTTTTTAAGGGTGAAAGTTTGCACCAAGACAGATGGCACGGTTAATATTCATCCTAAATCAGTTAATGTGGAAGAAACAGAGTTCCATTATAACTGGCTTGTGTACCATTTGAAGATGAGAACTAGCAGTGTATGTGGCATATATTTGTGTAGTTTATTTTCACGACTCTTCAATACGATTGGATAAGGTTTCAAAGGAGGTGTGAACAGTGCCTTTGTTTTGAAGCTCTCTTTTCTTGGGTCATTCCTTTTATATGCCATCAGGTTACATACTTTGTGATACTGCTGGTATCGTTCCACAAGTAACTAACTTCTGTGGCTTCATGTTTGCGTTCTTTTAGTTTGGGTTTTGGAGGGTTTGGGTTTGGTTGGTTTTTTTTTTAAGGTTCTGGCAATAACAGGTGTAATTTTGGTTTTGGAGTTTTGTTAGATTTTGTTGGGGGGGGTCCCCCATTTCAATCTAGTGTAACACTTGTGAATATGCTGATTTTTTTTTTTTTAATTTTTATGTAATATTTGGTTTGATTTTGCCACTTGGTGTGAGGGACTGTATTCGGCACTGTTCTGCTACTGTTCAATGTGATTTCATGTACCTTTTTTCCCACTGAGTCGCTTCATAAATGTTTTGCAAATTTGTGAATGAACGAAAAACAATCTTATGGAATTCTGTTAGTTTTGTTAAGGGTTTCTGATGTCACTTAAGATGTTTTGAAGGGTGATTGAACAATTTTGTCTCCTTGCAGATTTACTTGTATGACTGTACAGAGGTCTCTCCATACTGTCTCTTGTTCTTTGGAGGAGACATATCCATTCAGAAGGATAAAGATCAGGATACCATTGCTGTGGATGAATGGATTGTTTTCCAGTCTCCAGAAAGAATAGCGCACTTAGTTAAGGTGACTATGTTTAATAGTAATGTAGATGAAGACTTGGTGTAACACTGATGCTTCTTAGAGAATTCTGTGCTTGATATTCCTGAGTAGCTAGTGAGTTACTGCTGTAGGGAGATGACAATGAAAACATCATGTTTTCCCAGTAAGCAGTTCAAGTACACAAAGTAAGCAAAAGAGATCTAGCGAAGGTGTGTAGATAAATGCAGTAGTAGAAACAGTGTTCTGAACAGTCTGTATCACATGGCAAACTGGGAAAAAGTAAACAGTAATGTGTTCCCTTATGTTTGGCCTGTGGAGCAGGTGAGCACTCTGGTTTTGTTTGTTTCCAGTATAATAGCTGTGTGCCTGCTGAGGTGCCAGGAGCATGGTGGTGATGTTCAGCTGGTGCAGCCTCTGCTTGAAGAATTCATGGGGATGCTGGAAAACTGTAGAAGCTTCAGAGGAGAGTCATAGGATAGAATGATAGGATTTATTAACATGTCTTGGTTGAAACATTTGAAGAGCTTAATCTCTATACTTCTCCTTAGCAGAAGCTGTAGGATGACTTGATCAGTGCATGAAATGTCCCCACAGATATGGAAACATGAGGATGGGCTCTTAAGCTAGCAGTTAATCTTCCAGGAAGGAGGGGCTGAGTATAGCTCTGTTTAATATTTAATACTAGATCTAGAAGTTGTATCTGAGGTTTGTTTTTTTTTTTAACCCAGATATTTTTAATCCTGAAATAGTTGGCCAGTGGATGTATGTATAGACTGTTAAAGGCTGTCACATCCAGAAGTGGTCATCTGTCATATAAGGAAATACTGCTTGTTTTTGAGAAGCAGCTTTTGATCTGAAACTAGCAATGTTCAAATGAATTGCTGGGAGAGCAGCATGTGTAAATATTAGAAGAACAAAGGCCCTAGAGCTTTGAACTTAGTGTAGTGATGTTGTTTGTTGTATGTAGCTCTAATGGCCTCTTCTTTCTTTTCCTTTTTTTTCCTTCATTCCAACAAATACTTTAATTCCAGAATTTAAGACAAGAGCTTGATGATCTTCTGCAAGAAAAAATAGAAAACCCACATCCTGTGGACTGGAATGATATCAAATCCAGGGATACAGCAGTACTGACAGCGATAATAGACTTGATCACAACACAGGAGAATGAAAGTGCCAAAAACTATGCTCCACGGTTCCAAAGTGAACACTATAGTTGACACACTTTCATCTGTATTGATAAAGACAACACTCACCTTTTTGGGTCTTTTGTTGTTTTGTGTTTGTTTTTTTTTATTTTTTATAACCTTTATTTAGCTGGAGGAAAAACTTTTCTAGGGTAAGCTGGCAGTTCCCTCGTGCTGAAGAGCAGGTATTTCAAAATAGTTGGTCATATCTGTATATGCATGGTATTCTGTGTTCCCTGTAGCTTTTTAAATAAGAGAAATGCAATGCTAGCAATGGTAGTTGATGTATGGTTCTTGTCCTGCTGTAGCGTTTTGTTTGTTTTTTTTTTTTTTATTACAAATCTGTTACCTGATGTGTTAAAAACCCTGCTAAAGCACTGCTAAATAATTCTTAAACTGTTCTTGCTACCGGGAAAAACATCTCAAAAGACTCTTCTTTTTAATTGAGGGTGGTAATTAACTTACTGTGTTATTCCAGCTGTGCAGCAGTCTTCTCACCAACACTTCTACAGAAGGCAATTATAGCTTAATTAAACTGAACTTGAAAACACTTGTTAAGTTTGTGCTGTGGGAGGAAACAGTCTTCCAATATACTCTCCTCTTCTGCCTTTCATCGCATTAAATTAATCTTTCTTTGCTTTCTGTGCCCATCTGTCATTGCTGCTGACTAAACTTTCAAGTTACAGAAAATATGGTTGGATAAAAGTAATGGAATACACTTTAAGGTTTCATTGCATTCTAATTTTTCTTTTTTTTTTTTTTTTACCAGTCAATATATGGGTTATATAGTACTATGGTAGAGTCTTTTTTTCAAAGTGTTATTTCATCTGTTCTTAGTTCTTAATGTTTTGAATGCTTCCAGCTACATAAGAACACTTGAATAGCATGGCTTGTGTAGGATTTTGCGTAGAGCAACTTGAGAAACACTGTTCTGATCAAACTTGTGCAGGTGGCAGACCTGATGTTTCCTTTACAGGCTGGGGCTGGATCTGGGGTTAGGTTCTATTCTCCTGCTGCTGGAGGGAGCTAACAGGATGGGTTTTTAACTAGGCTGGCAGTTTACTTGGCAGCCCTGTTACTGTAGCTATGGCTGCAAAGCACAGGTCATTTCTAGGTTTATCCTTCAGGAACAAAGCTCTTGTGTCTCATTTTGTTTGCCTGGAAGTGTAACCCTCTCCCTTTTTACGTTTTGGGTTTGTTTCTTGTGCTTAGCAAAAATGCTCTTGACCACGAGGCTTGGGAGTACTTGTGACCCATACCCTGAAGAACGCAGAACTGGTCAGGTGAAACTTTGCATATGGAAATGAGTCTTAGTGACTAGGTTGTGCTTTTCATTGGGTTAACAAGGAGTGGAGGAATTTCTGCATTTCTACAGCACAGCTGCAAATAACCTCCCTTTCCCCAGTCACTTTATACTTTTACCCCCGGGGTGCTGAGGCTGCCATTTCAAACAGGCAGGGAGGAGGAGGAATACCCTGCCTTGGCCTGGGGGTGGTGGATGTGCTTTAAGCATCATGAAGGAAAGAAGGAGGCCGTTAACTTGGGAAGCTGGGAATTAGTGACAAAAAAAAAAAACAACAACAAAAAAAGGAGGAAAAGGGCAACCAAAAGCAAGGGGCTTCCTCCTATATCTGTTGTCCCCACGCAGAACTGCTTTCCTGTCCTGCATGGGGGCTAATGAGGAAACACATTCGAGCCAGAAACAGCCGGCTGATGCACTGCTAAAGAAGATCTCTACTCATGCTGCTAGGAAAAAGCAGCAGGTCGTAGTAGTAGGGGACTCTACACTGAAAGGGACAGAAGCACTCGTCTGCTGGCCAGATCCCGTCTCAAGGGAGGTGTGTTGCCTACCGGGGGCACGGATCGGGGATGTGGCAGAGAGGCTGCCTGCTCTAGTAAGTCCCACAGACTATTATCCACTCCTGGTGATACATGTGGGTGCTAGGGATATAGATAGTAGTAGCCTGGGGAACATAAAGGACTACAGAGCCCTGGGGGAGGTGGTTAGGGGCTCTGGAGCTCAGATAGTCTTTTCGTTAATTCTCCAGGATACAGGGGAGGACCTAAAAAAAGCTAGGAGGATTGGCCAGGTTAATAACTGGTTAAAAGGGTGGTGTCATAGTCAGGGGTTTGAGTGTCTTGAACACGGGACCCAAGTTTGTAGGCCAGGTCTAGTGGGGGCTGGTGGAGCTGGTCTGATGATAAAGAAGGGAAAGAGCAGTTTTGGTAGGAGGCTTGCCAGACTGGTCAAGGGTGCTTTAAACTAGCTGTGTTGGGGGAGGGGGGCATCATTCCATCCCAACACACCCAGTCAGTTGCCAGCACCTATAATAAATGCTCGGAGCAATTTGGAGACATCCCAGCCGCTCTAGCCAATGAGCCGGCTTCAGTTGGAGCTCGGCTCAGATGCCTCTATATAAATGCCCGTAGCATGGGGAAAAAACAAGAGGAATTAGAGATGTGTGCACGTCTACAGGGGTATGATACAATAGGCATCACAGAAACCTCGTGGGATGGCTCCCATGACTGGAGTGTTGGAATGGAAGGTTACAGGCTCTTTAGAAAAGACAGGCCCGGCAGGGGGGGAGGGGGAGTTGCTTTTTATGTTAGGGATAGGCTGGAGAGTATGGAACTGTCTGGGGACAGGTGAGCAGTCGACAAGAGTTTGTGGGTCAGGGTTAAAGGGAGAACAGCTATAGGAGACGGATGGACCACTCGGTGGATAAAGAACTGGTTGGATGGCCGCACACAAAGAGTTGTTGTCAATGGCTCAGTGTCCGACTGGAGACCAGTAAGGAGTGGTGTCCCTCAGGGATCGGTGTTGGGACCGGTCTTGTTCAACATCTTTGTCACTGACATGGACAGTGGGATTGAGTGCGCCCTCAGCAAGTTTGCCCATGACACCAAGCTGTGTGGTTTGGTTGATACGCTGGAGGGAAGGAATGCCATCCAGAGGGACCTTGACACGCTTGTGAGGTGGGCTGATGCCAACCTCATGAAGTTTAACCATGCCAACTGCAAGGTCCTACACCTGGGTCAGAGCAATCCCAGGCACAGCTACAGGCTGGGCGGAGAAGAGATTCAGAGCAGCCCTGTGGAGAAGGACTTGGGGGTGTTGGTTGATGAGAAAATGAACATGAGCCAGCTTCAGTGTGTGCTTGCAGCCCAGAAAGCCAACTGTATCCTGGGCTGCATCAAAAGGAGCATGACCAGCAAGTCAAAGGAGGTGATCCTGCCCCTCTACTCTGCTCCTGTGAGACCTCACCTGGAGTATTGTGTGCAGTTCTGCTGTCCTCAACATAAAAAGAACATGGAACTGTTGGAACAAGTCCAGAGAAGGGCCACGAGGATGATCAGGGGACTGGAGCACCTCCCGTATGAAGACAGGCTGAGAAAGTTGGGGCTGTTCAGCCTGGAGAAGAGAAGGCTGTGTGGAGGCCTCATGGCAACCTTCCAGTATCTGAAGGGGGGCTATAGGGATGCTGTAGAGGGACTCTTCATTAGGGACTGTAGTGAAAGGACAACGAGTAATGGGTTAAAACTTAAAACAGGGGCAGTTTAGATTGGATATAAGGGGGAAATTCTTTCCTGTAAGGGTGGTGAGGCACTGGAATGGGTTGCCCAGGGAAGCTGTGAACGCTCCATCCCTGGCAGTGTTCAAGACCAGGTTGGACGAGGCCTTGGGTGATACGATTTAGTGTGAGGTGTCCCTGCCCACGGCAAGGGGGTTGGAACTAGATGATCTTAAGGTCCTTTCCAACCCTAACTGTTCTATGATTCCATGAAAGTCCCGCCTGCTGCGGGCAGGGTGGGGGACGGGCCCTGGCGTTGGCTCCCGGTCGTTGCCTGGGCCCCGGAGCCGCCCGCGGTTGTGTGGGGATGAGGGGGACTGTGAGGACTGCGGGGACCCGCCGGGGCCCGCCAGCAGCTCCTCAGCAGGGAAGCGCGGCCCGCTGCCGGTCCGCCCGCCTCAGGGCGTTCTGCAGCGAGTGGACGTTGGAGGAGGCGGGAGCCCAGGATGGCTCGGAGCCGCCGAAGGTGAGGCTGGAACTGAAAGGATTAAAAAGGGGTTAAATGAATGATGATTTGTGTGGAACGGGGAATGAAATAACCAGGGGAAACACGGGGCGTCTCGCAGGGAAGGTGCAACCGGTAGAGGAGGACGCAAGATGGCGCACGGAGCTGAGGGAAGAGCGGTGCTCCTGGAGCAGGTTGTTGGCTGCCGGTGAAGCAGAAAGCGTTTGGTGCTGGGTCACTTAGCACAGCACGGCGGGCTGCTCCGCGTTACAAATCTGTAGAGTTTTGAAGAAGAATTGGCAGTAGCTCTGTTACTGGCAGGTCTGAATTAAAAGTCCTGAAGAAAATAGAGGCTGGCCAGTGGTATCAATTTCCTTCATGTTCTTGGTTTTTGCAGTACTTAAATGATGTACGAATTTCTACCTAGTAACAGAAAAGGCAAAATGAAAGGGTGGCAATAGCAGAGCCTGGGTAAGAATAGCAATGTTGGTTGAGGAAATCAAAGACAGATGGCAGTTTTCTCTACACCCTCCATCACAGTTTCACAGAGATTGGAAGTGACCTCAAAAGATCATCTAGTCCAATCCCCCTGCCGGAGCAGGAACACCTAGATAATGTTACACAGGAATGTGTCCAGGCGGGTTTTGAATGTCTCCAGGGAAGGAGACTCCACAACCTCCCTGGGCAGCCTGTTCCAGTGTTCTGTCACCCTCACTGAGAAGAAGTTTCTTCTCAAGTTTAAGTGGAACCTCTTGTGTTCCAGTTTGTACCCATTACTCCTTGTCCTATCATTGTTTGCCACTGAGTAGAGCCTGGCTCCATCCTCGTGACACTCCCCCTTTATATATTTATATACACTAATAAGGTCACCCCTCAGTCCTCTTCTCCAAACTATAGAGACCCAGCTCCCTCAGTCTTTCCTCATAAGGGAGATGCTCCACTCCCTTAATCATCTTCGTTGCCCTGCGCTGGACTCTCTCCAGCAGGTCCCTGTCCTTCTTGAACTGAGGGGCCCAGAACTGGACACAATATTCCAGATGGGGTCTCACCAGGGCAGAGT